CCTCCTCCTCCTCCTCCTCCTCCTCCTCCTCCTCCTCCTCCTGGTGGGGGGACGCTTCCGGTGGGGAGTGGGCCAGGCAGGCCCCCCAGCCGAGCAAAACGACAGCCGTCGAAACCAACGGATACTGCTCCGTGTCGCCGCTTCCCCCCAGCCTGGCCAAACCGGCCCAGTCAACTCTTTCCAATCCGCTGTTGGTGACTACCCCCACCCCCCTGCCAAGAAATGCTTGCGCTGTTGGCCAGGGACGCCGTGAGCAACAACCTCTTCGGCAACTGCATGTGTTAAAAAAAAAAACATAAAGAATCCCATGGCCTGCAACCGCTACACCCAGCCTCATGGTTCGTGAAGTAGCGCGTCGGCGGGAGCGGATTCATCACATCTGTGCACTGCTGCCAGATTGAGGACATACAGGTGGCCTGACACTGTTCGGTATCGACAGTGTGCCGTCGGCTGAGGCAACCTGCTCCTAGTCATGGGGGATAAGGAGCTCGCACTCACAAAGCCAGGCAAAGCTCTGGACAGTTCAGAAAGCAGAGACTGGGAGGCCACGGGAACAGGATGCAGGAACAATGACGCGCTGGACCCGACTGACAAGCCTGCGGAAGGGCGAAAACCGGGTGCCGTTCCAGCGAAGAAGTGTGTAATGAATTGCCCGTACATCTAAGCACTGAGACACTGCCAGGGCGGCACCATACGGGATGCCACTTCCTTGTTCTCCGCAAATGCTGCACTTCTGTGCGCCTTGGATGGGGCTGGTTTGGGATCCAAAACGGCATTGGCTTCCGCTTCCCCCTCTTGGCCAAAATCTACTGGGATTCGCTCCTCCTTCCTCTAGCATCAGCTTTTTCCTTGGCTCACAACAGCCCCTGCGAACCTTCAGGCGCCTCGCGCAATGCAGGACACGGTGTTGATGCACGGGGGACACAATCCTATGAGGTGGGGCAACATGCGCGTACACAATGCTCACCAGCTCAAGAGTATGCAGAGCTGCCAGAACGCAACGCAGCGATCGGCGGCTGGCAGCGGTGCCTCCTTCCAGGCATACCAGCCCATGCCTACCATGATCAGCATGATGAATCCACCCATGATGTCCAGCAGACAGACGAAGCGAAGTACCTGCAGATTTGCGACTCCGCGCCCGCGAAACCATTTGCACGCACTGGCACTTCCTGCTGTGATACCTGTGCCCTCATAGTTTTCTCTCGGCCTCGGGCACTGGGACACTGGACAACTGTTCCAACCTTGTCGACAGGCAGCTCGAGCCGCTGCTCGCGTGTAACGCATAGCCTGGCGGACGACGCAGACCAATCCCATACATGTATTCGTATCCACCGCATCTCCGCCTGAGGACTGCACGCGACTTTGACGAGCCCGTGCAAGTTGTAAAGTCCCCGACGCTTCCCCTACCTCGAGGACACCTTGCTGCAGCCTGAGCGGGTCGCCTTCGAAGTCCTAAGGGATCCCTGTTAGCGACGGAGCAGCAGGCGAACGAAGACAAGATTACGAGCAGATAGCAGACGAGACGCGTATTCAAACTCGCATCGCGTGGCTGGGATGGCCAAGAAAAGAACAATGACGGATGGGATCGGGGAATATGGATTATCGGGGGGGGGGGCTGGTCTCCCGAGTGGGGGCACGGACTGGTTTTGACGTCTCCGAGCACGATCATGGTACACGAGTTCGGCAGGGGGACACGACAAAGAAACGACGACCGAGGAGTAGGAGAAGGAGCCAGGTTGAGGAGGCGCCCGGAGGATATGGGAAGGATTGGGGGGGAAGAGAGAAGAGAGAAACGGAGGATGGGAGAAGAGGGAGTGGAGGAGCACGAGAGTGGACAGGTATGCGGAATCCCCGGAAGAAGAGGAGCGGTTCATTCCCGTTCGAGCTAAGGCCGTGCCGACCACTGCAGAACACGGTGCTCTGGCCTGAGACGACCAACCCATCGAGTCCGCTCCCCACTTCGCAGAGTGCGCACCCTCACGCGCCCCTCGACGAGCGAGCGAGGGGCGGGCGGCGCGGCGTCTCGCGACGCCCGCGGAGCAGGGGGCGCGCCCCCCCGGGAGGAGGAGGAGGAGGAGGCGGAGCACACAGGACAAATGTGTCAGGCGGAGCCATCGCGCCGTGACCTGGCGTCTTGCTGATCTGTGATAAGGGAGACGGGGTCCTGTTTGCCCCCATAAGGGTCGCGCACCGTGTTTGTCCAAGTCAAGCTCTCCCCATTCAGGATCCCACCGGCCAGGAAGTCACTTTTCGGTCGGGCATGTCCCCCTACAGGCGGACATTGGACGAAACATAGGAAAGACCCCAAACATGCTCAGCCATAAACAACAACTACTAGAAACATTGTTCCCAGAGTATTCTTTGACCATTTATGAATATCCCTCTTGTAGAGGGACATGCCCGATTTAGGACGTCACACCTCCTCCCAGACATCGGCTTCCCGGACATCTTGGACATCGGCTTCTCCACCCCCCCCTTCTCCAGCGAGGCCCATCATCTGGCCATCGCTCGGAACTCCATTCCCCGTGTTTTTTTCAGTTTCGTGTGTGGCTTTTTCGCAGGATGATCCAGGATGCTCCTGAATAGTCCCCGCCGAGAACAAGTCCACACGCCCGAGCAACACCAAGTCATGGGCCTCTGCTCCTCGGGTGGTGACCATCATTGGCCCAATCCCTTGGCAGCTGCCATCACGATGGGGGCTGCTGGGCTTCCCCTCCCGTCGCCACAGCACTCCATCGAGCCGACATTGGCGCCAGGGGGGGCCGAGGCCCTTCCCACGGAGCCTCGGCCGACGAAGGCAGCCGCAGGGGGGGGGGGGGGGGGCAAACGCAACTCCACAACTCTGACCTCAATACCTTACGGCGCCAATTGGGCGACCACAAAAGGCGGCCTTACGCGAGGTTACGCAGCGACCTTACGCAGCGGCGCGCGCGGGCCGCAGGCGCGACACGCCACAACGGAGACGAAGGCGCTCACGCGCGAGCTTCCCCCTGCAGCTTACGCGCCAATGTCGGCGCCGGTCTCCGATGTTTGGCACCGTTCAACTGCCACCATCCAGTCTGTTACTCCCTTCCTGCCGCCTCTCCCCCCCCCCTCTCTCCGCGCTTTGCCCCGCGTCTCCCCTCCCCCCCGTGGCTCGCGGGGCGTACGCATACGGCCGTCTGCAGCATGAGCAGCAGAAAGAGCCACGACCGCATCTTGCGGGCAAACCTCCACCGAGAGCGCAGGGGCGGGCGTCCGCGGGAGCCCCCCGATCCGCCGGGGGGAGGGCTTTCACCCAGCACTGGACCTGGCGCCCCCGTTCCGACGAGTTCGCCCCCAGAGAGGCGCCCTGTCCGACACCAGCGCTGCACGCGCGCAGCACCCCCCCCCCTCGGGAGCCAGCTTCGGACGGCCGAGCCGAAGCCGCGGAGCAGCCCAGGACGACCTGCCGCGTCATGGACAATGGGCCAAGAGGGCTCCAGGAGGAGGAGGAGGAGGAGGAGGAGGAGGAGGAGGAGGAGGAGGAGGAGGAGGAGGAATTGTTGTTGGGCAGTGTACCCATTCTTTCCTTACCCATTTCGGGCGTCCAGAGTGAGTCGCACGACGCGGGCGGGCCCGGGGAGGGCGCAGGGTTCCCCCGCCCTCCTGGCGGGCCTGCGGCGGCGGCCGCTCGGGACGACACAGCCATCCAGAAGGAACGCTCTCGAAGGGGCCCAGGGACACACAGAGAAATACACACACATCCCAGGAGTCCACACATTTTCACGATTCTCGTCTTCCCCCCCCACTTCCCATGTGTTCCCGCATTATCTCGGGAATCGACGATTCATCGTGCCTGCGTGCTCTTTTCCCCTCCTGAGCTACAACCATCTGAGGAACGCTCTAGGCGAGGCGCGCCTGCCGGAAGCCTCGCCTTGTAGGATGGAAGGCCGCCGAGAAGCAACGACAAATCCTGAATCATCGAGGCCTCGATCTTCAAGCCCCCCTGGGCCTACGGTCGGGGACTTCTGCACAGCGTGTCGCGGCGGCGGTCCCCTGCGATGCGCTATGCCTTTCGAGCGGATATCGTGTCGCTCCGCTCCGCAGGGCGGGAGGATGGGAAAGGCTGAGGACATTGACGCTGACGCTGGGAGACCGGGGCGTGGATAGCGCGTCGCGCGGCAGCCTGGTGGGCCAGAACCGCGGAGCGACGCGCCATCCTAAAGTACCCAGGCGTAAAACCTCGAAATCTGGATCTTCTGCGGGCGAGATGTATATCCATATCCACTGCTCCTTGGACTTTCTGGGAAGGGGTGCCAAAAGGCCGAGGCGCAATGGATATGAATAGTACCACCTTCTGGATTAAAAAATCCGGATCGGCCCTACAAGGCCCCTTGCGTCCTCGCTCACCGATTGTATCTGGAGCATTGGCCCTCGATGGATCTTCGGCTCCCGATTTCGAACATGGCCTCCAAAACGAACCCAAGACAACGCCGCGCGCCGCACAACGGCACAGCACCGCAAAGCATCGATCACCAGAACCAAGAAGTTCTGTTTAGAATCGCGCGCGTCGACACAAATAAACGCGCTTTGCCGAACCTTTCCAAACATGACGCTATTTCCAGGCATCGTAAGTCGGACCGGACATTTTTTGTGAGGAAGTCTCAAGCGAAATCGACATTTCCGATCGCCTCTGAAAATTTCAGGTCCTCTGAAACCTGATCGGCAATCCTTTCGAGGGAAGTCTTGAGCTGAATGCAAATTTCCGATCGTCGCCCCATTTGTTGCCGAACCTTTCAAAAAATGACGCTACTTCCAGGCATCATAAGTCGGACCGGAGCTTTTTTTGTGAGGAAGTCTCAAGCGAAATCGCACATTTCCGATCGCCTCTGAAAATTTCAGGTCCTCTGGAACCCGATCGGAAATCTTTTCGAAGGAAGTCTTGGGCGAAATGCGAATTTCCGATCGTCGCCCCATTCGGCGATTATAATATTAAAGGGGGTGAGGCGTGAATCGAAAATCCGCCATGGCGGTCTCGGCAACATTGTACTGGGGCCCCGCGGCCTAACGGGACACGCTCAACCCCAAGTTTCCGCGACCTCTGCGGTCCGGACTTTCTATTCGGGGGGGGTGTAATCTGGCCTCCAGGGGCCAGAAGCTCATCCATGGCCTCTGGTCTCTGGGGGAGGGAATCCGAAACTCCAGGATGCAGTGGATGTCGGTACAAATCTTGCCCATCTTCGGGCCCCCCCGAACCTGCCTTGGTAAGCTAGACGGTACCGATACCGCTACTCCCCAGACCTTTCCCAGGGTGCCTTCTGACTAGGATTTCGAGGCGAATCCAGCGGTTGCGACGAGGGCCTCCCAGGAGGCCCAGAAAGGGGGGAACGAGGGAAGGGTAGCGGTATGGGTACCTCTTCTTCCTCTGAAACGTGTCGGGTGGGGAACAAGATCGGGCGTCGAACCTCCCCGGCACTCTTAGCGCAAAGCCTGCACCCGACCTGACAGGTTAGCGGTAAAGGTATAGTCGGACCTTGGTCAGAAGAACAGCCCTCACGAACATGAGACCCTCCGTCGGCCAAAACAAACAGAACCCCCAAGGGTACCCTTCCCAGGTCGCAAACAAAAACATCAAACAAGCACGAGGGGCACGAGGGTACCCTCACCGAACCGACCTCGATCTTATACCTCGGTCCGACTGCAACTTCTCGGTGGCAACTCATGGGAAGCTCCCATACCATCTTGTCGGCTCTTGCGAATCGACGCTGCGTCGACGCTAGTCGACGCTAAATCGACGCAAATCGACGCTCAAACGGCGCTATCTCATCGACCCCCCGAAGCTAATCGACGCTAGAGGCAGAATTGCCGTTACGTCGTGCATGCCCTCCCACAGGCGGAACTTGGACGAAAAATCCAACATGGTCATAACGGTATCCCCCTAAATGATCCCAAATGGTGAAAACGGAGATCGTCCCCAGACTGTCTGTTCACCAGTTTTGCATAGTCATCCTGCAGGGGGACAGGCCCGACTCAAAATTGCCAGGGCACACGGGGCTCCCATGACCTCCTACAGGGCAGTTTCTAACACATAGGATTTTTTTGAACAAAATATCGGATTTCTAATACACCGTCGTCGTAAACATATCGGATTTTAAATCATATCGGATTTTAAACAAAATATAGGATTTAAAACAAAACACCGTAAATTTATGCATGAACTCGTCGTTGTTTTTAATACTCAAGCCCTGCATTTTTAAGACGTGACCCGCACGCGGAACATGTATTTAAAAAACGGCACAGTGCCCCGCAAGCGCACGGACGCCCCCCCCGGCGGACGGGGCCGCTCGGTCGGCGGGCCGATCTGCACCGGGGGCGACGGCAGCGGCAGCAACATCCCGGGCCGGGGCGCTCCTCGCGGGCGGGGGGCGGCGGGGGTCGGGATCCGCCAAGGGGGGGGGGGGGGCCAGGAAGGGGGGCATAAGCTCGATCCGCTTTGTTTTTTGTTTTCGTTTTTTTCCCAACCCTCCTTGGTTGGGTATTCGTTTTGAATAGGAAGCAGTGTGGTCTCCACTCCTTTCTCCTCCTCCTCCCTCCCTCCCTGCCTCTTCCTGTCTTGCCTGCGGGGGGCTGCGATCTGTGAAACTGTCGCCATTTTCGAGGCCTGCTGGGGGGCCCAGCACAGTGAGGGCCCCGCGCGGATTCAAAATAGACCTCGCCATCCCTGCGGGGGTCTGCGATCTGTGAAACTGTCGCCATTTTCGAGGCCTGCTGGGGGGCTCAGCACAGTGAGGGCCCCGCGCGGATTCAAATTCGACCTCGCCATCCCTGGGGGGGGCTGCGATCTGTGAAACTGTCGCCACTTTCGAGGCCTGCTGGGGGGCCCAGCACAGTGAGGGCCCCGCGCGGATTCAAATTAGACCTCGCCATCCCTGCGGGGGGCTGCGATCTGTGAAACTGTCGCCATTTTCGAAGCCTGCGGGGGGGCCCAGCACAGTGAGGGCCCCGCGCGGATTCAAATTAGACCTCGCCATCCCTGGGGGGGCTGCGATTTGGGGGCCCAGCACAGTGAGGGTCCCGCGCGGATTCAAATTAGACCTCGCCATCCCTGCGGGGGGCTGCGATCTGTGAAACTGTCGCCATTTTCGAGGCCTGCTGGGGGGCCCAGCGCAGTGAGGGCGACGCGCGGATTCAGATTAGACCTCGCCATCCCTGGGGGGGCTGCGATCTGCGAAACTGTCGCCATTTTCGAGGCCTGCTGGGGGGCCAAACACAGTGAGGGCCCCGCGCGGATTCAAATTAGACCTCGCCATCCCTGCGGGGGGCTGCGATTTGTGAAACTGTCGCCACTTTCGAAGCCTGCTGGGGGGCCCAGCACAGTGAGGGCGACGGGCGGACCCAACTTAGACCTCGCCATCCCTGGGGGGGCTGCGATCTGTGAAACTGTCGCCATTTTCGAGGCCTGCTGGGGGGCCCAGCACAGTGAGGGCGACGCGCGGATTCACATTAGACCTCGCCATCCCTAGGGGGGGCTCCGATCTGTGAAACTGTCGCCACTTTCGAGGCCTGCTGGGGGGCCCTGCGCAGTGAGGGCGACGGGCGGACCCAAATTAGACCTCGCCATCCCTGGGGGGCTGCGATCTGTGAAACTGTCGCCACTTTCGCTGCCTGCTGGGGGGCCCTGCACAGTGAGGGCGACGGGCGGACCCAAATCAGACCTCGCCATCCCTGCGGGGGGCTGCGATCTGTGAAACTGTCGCCATTTTCGAGGCCTGCTGGGGGGCCCAGCACAGTGAGGCGACGCGCAAATCCAAATTAGACCTCGCCATCCTTTGGGGGGCTGCGATCTGTGAAACTGTCGCCACTTTCGAGGCCTGCTGGGGGGCCCAGCACAGTGAGGGCCCCGCGCGGATTCAAATTAGACCTCGCCATCCTTGGGGGGGCTGCGATCTGTGAAGCTGTCGCCACTTTCGGAGCCTGCTGGGGGGTCCAGCACAGTGATTCCACGCGCGGACCCAACTTAGACTTCGCCATCCCTGGGGGGCTCCGATCTGTGAAACAGTCGCCACTTTCGAGGCCTGCCACGCGCGGATTCAACTTAGACCTCGCCATCCCTGGGGGGCTCCGATCGGTGAAACTGTCGCCACGTTCGAGGCCTGCTTGGGGGCCCAGCACAGTGACGCATACGCAGATCCAACTTAGACCTCGCCATCCCTGGGGGGCTGCGATCTGCGAAAGTGTCGCCACTTTCGAGGCCTGCTGGGGGGCCCGGCACAGTGACGCCACGCGCGGCTCCAAATTCGACCTCGCCATCCCTGGGGGGCTGCGATCTGCGAAACTGTCGCCATTTTCGAAGTCTGCTGGGGGGCCCAGCACAATGACGCCACGCGCGGATCCAACTTAGACCTCGCCATCCCTGGGGGGCTGCGATCTGCGAAGCTGTCGCCACTTTCGAGGCCTGCTGGGGGGGCCCAGCACATTGACGCCACGCGCGGACCCAAATTAGACCTCGCCGTCCCTGGGGGGCTGCGATCTGTGAAACAGTCGCCACTTTCGATGCCTCCTGGGGGGCCCAGCGCAGTGACGCCACGCGCGGACCCAAATTAGACCTCGCCATCCCTGGGGGGCTGCGATATGAGATCCCCGCTTTCGAAGTGGCTAGGGTTGCTCAGGGTTGTAACTAATCAGCTATATCTAGTCCTTGTCCTGTAGCCTGTGTCCTGCGAGTCTCCCGAATTCCGTCTGCAGACATATGTAACCCTCGCTCCGTCATCGCCCCCCTTTATAAAGTGTCCTAAACTATTTGCGCCCCGCGTTTGCGCAGGGGTTGGGTACGTCGCCAGGGTAATTTTTGTGTTGGTTTCAACCCCTGAAAGTTTCAGCACCACTGGAGAGGCGACCCAGAGGTGAGGGTTTGGTGCGGTGGAAGAAGAGCTCGATCCGCTGGTGCACCGAACTGCGCTCCTCGCGGGGTGGGGGCGCCGGGGGTCAGGATCCACCAGGGGAGGGGGGACCCTGCCCTGACCTTCCAGAGAGCTACTTTTTAGCACTGGAGGCCTAAAACAACCTAAACAACGAAACGAAACAGCCTAGAACCAAGACATATAATAGCTCTGTGACAGGTTTTTAGGTCGGGCGCTATCTTTTAGCCCTCCTGGAAGGTCAGGGTGAAGGGGGGCATGAGCTCGATCCGCTGGTGCACCGAGCTGCCGCAAACGGATGCCCCCCGCATGTTCCACACGCGTCGGCAGCTCTCGGGAGCTGCCCGCGGCTGGTCAGCGTTGTCTGCTTCGGCGTTTCGACAGTGGGCGGCAAGGGGGGGGAGGGGGGGGTCTGGCTCCAGACCTCTGCGTAGTGCGACTGTTTACAACAGGGCCTGCGTGCGCTTACTCGTTCTCTCATAGACGAGCTCCGCTCCCTGGGCTCGAACGCAACACGAGCCAAGGGCGGACACACCAGGCCACACGAGGACGAGGCGACAGAGGAACGAATCACCAAGAAGAAACCAAATCGCAACAACAATTAAATCAACACCACGACTGACACAACATCTCACAGTGGAAACCAGGATGGGTCTTCAGCGCGAGGGGCAAACGACCGAACACCAAACGGCTCGGGACACAACATGCTTCGACTCTTGCGCGCCACTCTCCTCTCCTTCCCCTTTTCCTCCACCTCGTTCTCCTCCTCCTGAATCTCCTCCTCGCAGGGGCTGGAGCCAAACGAGGAGAAGGAAGCGGAGGCGGGGACGCAGAGAAGGATGAGGATGAAGAGCCGACGCGAGGCACGAACAAGAGGACGACGATAACGGGTGCCCGTGAATGGCAGCCCGGTCGTCGGCTGGCTTCGTAGTGCCGCCACGCCTGGCACTCTCACTGGGGAGGGGACGCTAGGGAAACAAGCAGTGACATACACATAAAAACTCGGAGGTCCGCGCGGACCTCCGAGCTTTTATGCTCATGTCTCTGTGCGTTTCCCTACTCTCACTGGGGAGGGGACGCTGACCACCACCACCACCACCACCACCACCACCACCACCACCACCACCACCATCAGAGGCGACGATAGGGGCGAATAGCCCAGGGAGGAGCATCACCTGTACCAAACGCGCCGATGATCCATGTCTTCGGCGAGGCTCCCGTGCGAATACGTGTGATGCCCGCTCCTGGGCTCTTCGCCCGTATCGTCCCCGCCGACACTACCACCACCTGGCCGATGCCACGTTTGTCCGACGCGTGGGATGCAAGCGTGCGCCAGATGCCCCGCGAGTGCCCGCGAGAAGGCCGGAGAAGGCAGATGTGCCCCGCCACAGCTGCTCCCGACCTTCTTTGCGGCCCTCGTCGGCTCTCCTGGTGGTGGTCCTCCTCCTCTCCTCTCCTCCTCCTCCTCCTCCTCCTCCTCCTCCTCCTCCTCCTCCTCCTCCTCCTCCTCCTCCTCCTCCTCCGCTCTCAAAACACGGCGGAAACAACCAATGCGGGGGGAACCAAGCCGACGCTGCCCTGCAAATGGCGCAGCCGCCTCACGGAACGTCCCCCCTCCGCCCCGGGCCCAGGCTGCCAAGCGAGCCTCGGCGGGCCGTGCGGACGACGGTGCGGAGCCGGCGCGGCGAGGCGCCACGACGACAGAGCGGGCCCCGAGCTGCAGACCTCCACGAAGAGCGTGCCGCCAGCAGAAGTGGCACCTGTTGCCCAAACGTTGCTGTCGCTCGGACGTCCACTTCCCATGCGTTTTTCTTTCGTGCGTGTGTGTTTTGTTTGCTCGATGGTCCAGGATGGTCCTCGATGGTTCTCGCCGAGAAGAAATGCACACGTCCGAGCGATGCCAAGAAACAGCAGCGCAAACAGCGTGCCACCAGCCACGGTGGTAGCAGCAGGCAGGACACCCGGCCGTGATTTCTTAGTGCGCACACCTCAACGCAACGACCAAGGAACTAGTCTCAATGCAGCTACTTACTGGAGTCAAGCGCGATAGGCACACGACAAATGATGGGCCTGTTTTCCACCTCCACCACCATAAGTTGGACGGGGAGGGGGTCCTCCTCCTCCTCCTCCTCCTCCTCCTCCTCGTCCTCAACCTCCTCCTCCTCCTCCTCCTCCTCTTCGTCCTCCTCCTCGTCCTGCACCTCCTTCCCCCCTCCAACTTTTGGTGGTGGTGGTCGAAAAGCAACATGGCAGAATGGACGGGAATATCCTGGACCGCGCGCGTGTCACGGTAACAGATGCGGTGCCGATGCAGCCCTGTAAGTGACAGAGGAAACGGCAAACATGCAGTGCAACCCATCATGCCGTCTTAGAAAGCAAAACATCCACCCCCATAATAACCACCCCGGCACACGAAGCCGTTTACTAAACGCCCCCACAGAAGGACTCGAACAGGGCAGGGCTGTTTAGTAAACGTCCAAGGCCGTTTAATAAACGCCAATTGTCGGGTCCGGGTGGTCTTTCCTCCCTTGACATCTGGCCGTTCCACCACCGAGGACGGCCCCAAGAGATCCCAACCACGACCCGAGAAGGGTCCATGACAGCCCAACACAGCAGCAAGATGGTCCGAGAGGGCCTCGAGAGGCCCCCAAGACAACCACAAAAGAGTCCCCAAACGGCCGAGAGGGGTCGAAGGCGGCCCCAGGCGGCAACAACCCGGCCCGAAGACGGCCAAAGAGAGTCGAGAGAGAGCCCGCAGATGGCCTCACACGAGCCCAAGACAGCCTAAAGGCGGCCCAGGTGGGCCACATGATAGCCCCTCGAGAGCTCGAGACGAGAGGTGCCGCACGTTACGGCCTGTGGGCGGTGCTCGAAGCATCGCCACAAACTTTCACGCTGGCACGGCGGGCGGGCCTTGCCGCAAACTTTTCCGTCGGCGGCGAGGCAGAGGCGATCCGCTACAACGTGTGGCAATTCGGGCAAGTCAATGGCTCGTTGGCCGGCATACAAGGTAAGGAAAAGGACGAGGGCACCTTGCAACAAACAACCGAACATCGGATTGTGCAAGTATTTAGTGCCGCGACGCCCGATCTCCGCAACTCCTTGAACGTGCCGCGTGAGCTTGCCTGGGCTAAACCTGCTGAAGAATCCTGGTCTCAG